AAAAAAAAAGAAATAATAGAAAATATTAAAAAGCTAAAAATGTTATACAAGAATTTGGGTAAAGATCACTTACTCCATCGTGCTCAATTTGAATCCTCTATTTCTAAAAATATATTATAATAGAGATTTCTGGTTTGACTTTAAAGTTAAATTCAAATTTTACATTCACATTTAATTTAGGGCTGGAACTGTAAACACCCTTCACATGATTTGGCAAGTGTTTTTGTGATAGGCGGTCCATTGATGTTGGGTCAATGTTTGGCACATATTGGGTTTAATTTTTAATTAAGGATTATATGTCAATCATGACCAAGCAATTTGTACATCTTCGATCTCCCCTAAATATTTTCTTGCTACTATATAAAAATTGCATTCAGCATGTAAAAGATGCTTCTTTATATCGAATTTGTTATATTGTGGTCAGTTATTTTCTCGAAATGGGATAATAAGTAGACATTTTCCCATTCTTGTTATAAAAAATTATTTCGTACAATATTTTTAATCATGGTTGGAAATTTGGGGAATAATTAGAGTTAGGCTGTGTTATGAACTCAACTTGCATAGTTGTATTTTGAGCAAATTAAACAGGGCCATGGTTGTATATCTAGTCATTATCACAAAAACCTAAGATTGTTGACATATTTTAATCCAAGCAAGAACTAAATAAGTAATATTACCTAAATTGCCATATGTAGCAAACGCTTCCACTGATCATGTAGAAAATTTAATGTATTTGAAATATGATCCAAGTGATAAAGATTGAGGCCAAATAGTTGTGGAAAATAAGAGAAATTATTCAAAGAAGGCTGTCATAGAATAATTAATTTTACATTAATAGTCAATTAGTCATCCCAAAATTGTGAAGTACTCTCACCATCACGTGATTGTTAAAATCAGTAAAGCCTAGCTAGTGTATAAGTAGTAAAAAGGGCACACCGCAAAAACTCTCTAGTGCTATTTTTAAATCATTAATATGTGATGAGCTTCTGTGTCTTTCGATTGATTGTTCATAAAATTTACTATTTTATACCAATTACTGGTTGATGATATATGATTCACAGTCTGATTAAAAACAAAATTGCTCATATCAACAATTACAAGTACGCCACATAAAAAAGTAAAATAAACTTAACTTTATTTTCTAGGCAGGGGTGCAAATGAGCTGACCGAACTCGCAAGATACTACTATTATCAAGTCGAGACTAAACATGTTCGAGCTTGACTATTTTGTCAATATTAACAAATCGAGCTCGAGTCGAGCTATAAAAAAAATCTACTTTCAAACATTAATGTTTTATCAATATTAACAAATCGAGCTCGAGTCGAGCTATAAAAAAAATCTACTTTCAAACATTAATGAAATTAGCTTACGAGCAACTTGTTTGATTTAACATATCGTAAAATAGATTGATATATATTTAATCAATTTTTTATGAAGGGTAATATGTTATGCCTGACTCACCATTAATATGACAGCACTAGATAGACCATCTACCTAAAAATCCTAATTTCCTCTCTAAATCCATCATTTATCCTTCAAAACTCCTATCACTCCCTTTGTCCATCTTCACATTTTCCCAATAGAAACACCCACAAAAAACATAGCCTAAGTGATCAAATATTTAGCTCAGGCAATCAACAACTCTTCATCACTAGCCATTTATCACCTGTACCAAGAACCCCCAGCTCTTACACATCCTCACCACAGTGTCCCCTCCATCTTTTCCCCTGACTCGCCACCCCACCACCTTACCATGAGCCACCAATGCGTGGCCACTATCGAAGGCCAAAACTCCTACACTTCATCCCTCGTCCTAACAAGAAACTTCCTATACACCGGCTCCTCGGATAGAGAAATCCGTACGTGGAAAGTCAACACCGGTCCAAGCAATTTTGACGCGAATTACGAAAACATTAGCACGGTTTTGGCGGGAAAAGGCGCGGTCAAGGCCCTCATGGCCTCGTCCGATAAACTCATCAGTGCCCATCAAGACCACAAAATCCGAGTATGGAAAATCGACCAACACAATAACAAAATCAAGCAACTCGCCACACTCCCGACGCTTGGTGACCGTGCACTCAAGCTCTTGGTCCCGAAAAACCACGTGCAGATCAGAAGGCACAAGACCTGCACGTGGGTCCACCATGTGGACACTGTCTCGGCTTTAGCCCTGTCGAAAGACGAATCACTTCTTTACTCGGTTTCTTGGGATCGGGCCATCAAAATTTGGAGGACGGCAGATTTTCGATGCTTGGAATCGGTCACGGATGCACACGACGACTCGATAAACGATATCGTGCTTTCGGAAGGTGGATACTTATACACGGCATCATCCGACAAGAAAATCAAATTATGGAAACAAAATTCGGGCCGAAAAAAGCATTCTTTAGTGGAAACGTTAGAAAAACACGGTTCGGGGGTTAATGCGCTTGCTTTAAGCCGAGATGGGTCGGTTTTATATTCGGGTGGCTCTGATGGGTCGGTATTTGTTTGGGGGAATGTGGGGTCCGGTGGTATGGAGGTGGTGGGTGCACTAAGGGGACACACGAAGTCCGTGTTATGTTTGGCTGTTGAGTTAGACTTGGTGTTCAGTGGTTCGGCTGATAATACAGTGAGGATTTGGAGCGGAAAAACATGTTCTTGCTCGAGAGTGATTGAAGGGCATCTGGGGCCTGTTAAGTGCATTGCTGTATCTGTTGATCATTGTTTGTCGAATGGTGTGCAGGTGTACATGCTATATAGTGCTAGCCTTGACTGTGATATTAAGGTTTGGAAGGTCTCTCTTCCTGTGTTTTCTCAAGTTGACAATGGAAACCATAGTTAGTAGTGTACGTAATTTATCTGTCATCAGGAGCAACTTTGCTAGATTTTGGGCCTTGTCATTTCTATCCAAAAATAAGTAGTCCTGTACAATTGACTTTCCTTTTATTTTTTCATTCTTTTTTTTTTCAATTATTGGTACATTAACATAGAAGATGAAACACTAACTGGAACAGATGATCTCTGCTGATTCAAGAAACATAAAATAGGAAAACCCATTTCATAAGTGTGTGGTTTAGCATGTACAATCCTGCTCTTCTGCCCAAAGGGTACAGATTAATATGCTCACCAACTGATATGACAGATTAGCATACCATACACGATGGTAAAAGTTGTCGAAAGTTTACGAGATCTTCACGTGTGACTAATGTTCACAATGAGTAGGTGAGCAATTCTATTAGCATGTATACCAAAAGAAACCACATCAAAAAGTAGCTCATGATTTATGCAATAATTTTACTAACGGGGGTATAAAATAAATTTACTTTATAGGTTCTTAAAGTTGTACAACTTTGAAAGACTGGATTTTGGCATACCTTTTTTTGTCCTGTTGCACAGATATGATAGGGCTGGGTAAACTTTATATATAGTCATCTAATTGGGTTATGTCATTCAATTCTTTCATTGTCACCACAAGAAGTATAAAGGAGTACTCTCCATGTGCCCTTCATGAAAAGAAGTGCAGAACTGATCTCTTCAACCAATGTTTCATATTCTGCATCACTTCTATTTTTTCTTTTTTTATCAAACTATTAGAGGTGCTTGGATATAAATTTATTTGAGTTTTGATTGGATTTGTTGGTGAAGTAGAGTTAATTTTGAAAATTTTGGTTGAATTAGGTTTGAAAGAGGTTTTGAGTTTGTATTAAAATAATATTTAAAATAATATAAATAAAGTTGATTTGATGTAAAAATATGAAAGAGGTGATTGAAAATGATGAGTAGTTAAAATTATGTGGGTGGATGCATTGTGAATTAAAGTTGAGACGATGTGTCATGTGTGAGGATGATTGAGTGGTATTATTTAATTATATTGATAATATTGAGAAAAATTGAGTGAATTAATTTTGAATTAGATTTTGAGTGACTAGTACATAGCCCGTGCGATGCACGGGGTGCACAATTTTAAGGCTATTTATCCAGACTTATAATTATATACATGAATAAAGAAAAATGTACGGGATATATATAGTACGTGACCCGTGCGAAGCACGAGATATATTTATTTGGAGAATATTATATTATAAGATGCAATATTCAATAAAAGTTTATAATACGCAAGAAAATTGTACAATGTTCAATAAAAGTTTTATAATATTCAAGTGGAGTCTTAAATATTTTAATCAATGAGTTTCCTTTCCTTGTAGTCAAATTGTGAATGTGATTTGATGAGTACAACAAATCGATATATAGCTGACTTGCTTTTTTCATTGTAGTTTTTTTTCTTTTTTTTTTTATAATGAATTTAAAGATATTCTAAAATATAGCAAAAATTAATTTTTTTATTACAATTAAGAATTTTACTAAATATAGACTCTCAATCTATGGTGTTAATCAACGTGTAAGTCTAAAAAATTAGGAATTTTTACCTCTTTTAATCAACGTTTAAGTCTAAAAAACAATAGAGTTATTATAAGTTTTTTTCTACATCTTTTAAAACATTAAATATGAGCATGTTAGGCTAGCTTGTAAAAAATAATTAATATATTATCTCACTAAAATTTATATTAATAAAAATTTAATTTTAGCAAATAAATTTATCCATTGATATAAGAGAAAGTAACAGTTTTACTTATTGTTGTTCACCATATAATATTTAATTTATTTTATTATATAATAAAAAAGGAATATTGTTAAATAGTGTAGTAGAATTGTTATAAAATTATATGATTTTTTTTTACAATATGGATTTAATATTTTTTTATGATTTGATAATATAAACAAATCTATACTTAACTTTGACAAATAAAACAAATAAATATTTTAGTAAGTATTTAATGTATATACTAAATAGGAATATATTTGGTATAATCAAATACCAAATATAATCAAATAAGTCAAAGTGTACATTTTTATTTGGTATTTAATTTTTTTATTATTAAAATCTTTTTATTATACTTACCTTTTTAAAATAAAACAAATAAATAAATCAATTAAATAAATAAAATATTATAATACCAAAATAGTAATGACATTTAATGCAGTTGACTTTTCTGGATAGTAAATGTAGTAAATAGAATCTCCTTTTATATAAGTATAGATATGATATTATATTATGTTGCTCAAAATAGTAATGCATTTATTGCATTGACTTTTCAACTTACTAAATTTCGTAAATGGTACACCTTATTATATAAGTATAAATTGGATAAATTTGTATCCAAACACCAGCTTAACTTTCCGTAATTGCTATTAGTTGATTTTTTTAATAATTAGTGATTTACTGGTCTTCAAAATCTAACTTTACACACTACATGAAACCCGATCGGATCAACATGTCAGCGCCAACGTAGCCGACTAGGTGGAGCTAATTACTCAAATCGGCAGAGGACAATTCTAATTGTTAATATAAAAGGTGTATCACAGCATGATACAAAAGATGAACTAAACAATGCAATATAGCCAGACATCTTCTTCATAAAGGCAGCTTTGATGGAGTACCTGGAGAACGGGGATATTTTCTTGGGGTAGAACCGTCTTTTAGGCATACAATGGCCGTTCTTTGTCCATATTTGCTGTGTGATTCCACTGAAATATCTCAGAAGAAATTTAATTAGTATTAGATAATTTTGGTTGGCTTTAAGACTGAAAGGAAAAAACCAAGTGCACGGGAGAGAGATATTAAATGAATTATTTTCACAGCTTTGTCCGTTTAAGTCTGAGAAGGGCAATCATCCATTTTCCACCTCTTTTAATCACCGTTAAGTCCCGTTTAAGTCGGAAAAGGGTTATCATCTATTTTCCACCTCTTTTAATCACTGTTAAGTCTAAAAAAAATAGGATTGTAATCTATTTTTCACATCTTTTAATCAGCGTTGTTTTATTTGTAAGAACATTAAACGTGAGCATGTTAAGGCTAACTTGTAAAATAATAAATATATTATCTCACTAACACATTTATACTAATATAAATTTAATTTTATTATATATATTTATTCCTTGATATAAGAAAAAATAACAATTTTACTTATTCTTGTTCACTATATAATACTTAATTATTATTTTACTATAAACTCTGTTGCCATATAATGTTATTACTATTTATAAAGTTATAGAAGTTGCACGTCTTCTTGTTCTTTTTATTTTATGTAATGAAATATATTTAATGCACGTTGGTATTATTTATATAAGTAATCAATTTAAAATATGTAAATAAATTTAAAATTAAATAGTGTATAAATAATGTACAAAATATACACATATATTTTTTTAGAATTTAATTTTGAATACTAATTAAACAACTTTGATTTAAGAAAAGCCATGAATTCAATTTCTTCTAATATCAATGTTTTTCTAATTTGCATTATAATGATTATTCTTATTATATATATAGATTAGAATTTTTGCGACACCAATCAAACTAAATATCACAACAACCAAGTAACAATTATGAAAAACCCATAAAACAACAACTATCAATTAAATTTGGTAATAGAAAAATTACATACATATATAAAAAAATGAGAATTCTATATTTCTATTAACTGATGTATACAACAAGTGTATATTTTGTTAAGGTATATTTCATTGTTGAATTTCATAGCATGATAACAATCAATCTTAAAAAATCAAAAATCTTATTGAAATGCCATATTTTTCTGTTAAAAAAAAAAGTTCCCATAAAAAATAATTATATCATATTCATTGTGTAATTGAATAAATTTTTATAATGAAGCCCGATTTTCTGTACAAAAATAAAGCAACAACTTCCACATTTTAAGGAAATCAATTAATGTTGGTCCGTTTTTGCTAAGAAAATAATAAATAAATAAATTGTAATTAATGGAAAGTAATTAATGATGAGAGAATTTGACCATATAGTTGACCTACTATTTTTTAAAAATGGTAATTCTTATTATATATATATAGATAAATAAATCAGTTAAATAAAATATTAATACCGAAATAGTAATGACATTTAATGCAGTTGACTTTTCTGAATACTAAATGTAGTAAATAGGATCCCCTTTTATATAAGTATAGATAGATGTGTAGATGATTCGTTTCAGTCGATGGGTCATATTGGTGAAAATATTCAGAGCCTAGTTCTTAAAATTCTCGTCTGTAATGTGGCTACAAGGATAATGATATAATAGTCGTGACTCTATAGTAAACATCTACAAGAGTAAATGACATGATTATCTAGATTTAATTGATCACCAAACATCATGTTCACTTGTGAACCTGGTTGTGGTTGTTAATCGTGATGAAGAATAAGCCAGAAAGTGGACAAAACGATGCATACCAAAGCATGTTTTCAGGAGAGAAGCACCCATCAGATGAATAGCTCTTTCAGCTTTGGTAACTTCTTCCTGAAAAGGCATTTATAAACCGAGATATGCTTATATATCGAATGTTAAAGTTATCTTTACATACATTATATCGGTGTATAGAGGCACTTCAAAAATTGAAATGCACACATAATAAAACAAATACCTGAGGATCATGACCCTTTGCTGCCACAAACAGACCACCAACTCGGACTAAAGGGAGACAGTATTCAGCTACAAACCAAAGAAAAACATTACTTAGTCACTTCTATACCAACCAAATTAGAGCCGAAAGACAATTAATATGTACAAGATCATACCAAGAATTCTCATTTCTGCTACTGCTCTCGCAACTGCAATGTCAAAGCTCTCTCTGAAGTCAATATCATGCCCTACATTCTGTCCTACGTAGGACGGTCCAGTTTTGGAACAGGAATATATGATAATCGAATGACACCACCAAAAAAGGAAGAAGAAAATAAAAGAAAGAAAGAAAATTGCCAAACGTTGTTCTGTGAAAGAATACAAATGAGATGACGATCAAACTAAAGATAGCTATGAAACCACCATGCACGTCCAGACAAGTGCAATTAGAGACCAATATATCTTGTAAATGGGTGAAAATTGATGGTCTGTTGATGAGTGCTAAAATGTATTTCCTAACGTTTGACCAGGATAAGGCAATTAACCCAACCATATAAATTATGCTCATCACATTACCCTCAAGCTTGTATAAAATACTATAGAGGTCTAATAAACAGTTCCATTGGAAGTTCAGTAGTATGACTTATAGTTTAATCATGCTTTCTGAATGAATATATATATAAAAACAATACATAAAAATAAAGCAAGTTCCAAACATTATACATAAAGACATCAGACATATTTCCTACGTTACTAGCTAACATATTGCAATTGAAGTGCAAAGCTCAAATCAGGCCTTAATTAACTTTATTTCATTAAGTTGTTTTATTTTTACTATATATGCAAGTAACAATGAAAGACGGAATACATCCTAGAGTTTTTCATCAGATTACAAATAGGAATCTGACATTGGCATTTAAGAAAAGCCCTTCAGGGAAATTTCAGGATAGTAGTAAGCTGGGCTGATATCATCCTTCTTTACATTATATCCACTTACGTAAAAGAGCTCAATTAAGCAATCAACACTAGAGAATAGGCAATACGCTCACAAAAACGCAAGACAGCAGTACAGAAGAGTGGAAAAAGAAGAAATAAATTCACTATTGTAATGAGAAGTTCACACCTCAGCTCGATCTCGAACAATTCGCACATTCTGGAGGCCGATGAGGTCAACCGCATGCTCCAGGAAGATGCAGCGCTTGTTCATGGACTCCAATAGAGTCACCTCCCAACCTAAGCACAAATTTGAGCCATAAGAAGATTTAAAACACACATACAGACACATGAAACAACTTTTGCCCAATTGACTCAAAAGAAGTGGCAAATATTGGAAATGCGAACATTACCTGGGCAAGCAATGGCTAGAATCAACCCAGGAAGCCCTGCCCCACTCCCAACATCAACAACGTTCAGTTTTTCAAAAGAATCTCCACAACGAGACAAATACGCCTCGCGAACTGGATTCAAGATGGCCAGAGAGTCCTCGACGTGCCTTTCCATGATCTCATTTTTCTCCTTCACGGCCGTGAGATTCATTTTCTTCGCTCCAAAAATAATCCCAACAAAAAAAAAATATTTTAACGAGGATCAAATGACTTTAACGGGGCATAAAAGAGTACGTAAGTTGTAGAAAAAACCTGGTTCCATTGGAGAAGAGAGTCGATGTAAAGGCGAATTTGAGTCTGTTGGTGAGAGCTCAAGGTCTGGAAGTGGGGTGCTTCTACGGCGGCGGAGGCGGCCGGACAAGAAGAGGCAGCGGCGGAGGACGATGGGAATGAGAGCGTGGATTTTCTGACGGGAATTAGGCTGAGTTTGAGGTTGGATGATTTACGACATGGAAGGTGTTTGATAAAATGCCCAACTGAAAGTTTAGACGATGAATGAGCAGCGCGGGTGGAGAAGGAAATTAACATCTTGGCGCCAGAATTAGATTGGATTTCAATTTCATATGTTAAATCGTTATTGGCTTAGTAGCCCAAAGTGTTACTATTGATTTGAATCATTCGAAGCCCATACTTAGGGAACGGACCACGCTAAGCCCGACATTGTTTAATTTAGCTAGCGACAACCAAATATCAATTATAAATACTATATATAATTAAGGGTGTTTGGATTAATTTATCCAAATGCCCCAAACATGATTGGACATCTAAAGTTAGTAGAGAAAATGCACAAACCTATAAACTATATAAAAGATTGTAAAAATCGAGTAAATTAAATCAAACGAAACTAACTTTCAAAAAACAAGTGTTACAAATAAGTGTTGAATTACAACAGGAAATTAACTGAAATAATCTTTTCAGTTCTTCCAAATAAACTGAAAAAATAAAAAATACAATAATACGCCTCGAATAATGTTAATTGGTTTGTATGTCTTGTCTCTAAATATACAACGACAATCATCTCAGAAGTAATAGCACACCAGACTTCGAAACTCTGGCGATCTAAAACAGAGTCGAGAAACAAGGATTATGTATGATGCTCTCAATAGAGTGTAAGGATGCACAAGTATGTTCGATGTTCGTGTATTCTGCAACTCTAACTATGTTCTAGGACGGATCCAAAAATTAAAAGTAGACTGGACTAAAATTTTAATAACTCAGTTTCATAAAATTCACATAATATTTTTTCTTCAAATATTCATTGAAGTTTTGTTTGACGAACTTTTATCAAAAAAAAAAAAAATAAAAAAAAAAATCATTATGCTCATTTTGCGTTGTATTTGATGTGATTTCATTATTTTGCCGTTAATCATGTTTTCTAAAAAACGATAATATCAATAGAGTTTTCCTTTCTTAGCCGAAGGGTTGATGCTCCATGTGAATTTCTAAACATTCCACAATATAAATAAATATATTTTTCATATGGTATAGTTATTAGCAAAATGAAATGCCTACACATCATAAATTTATATCCAACTATGATAAACAACAACCAAACTAGAGGATAAGAGATTAAAAACACACACACAATTACTACTTCATACACAATCAACAAAGCAAGAATTGCAACCAAATAATCCTAGCAATTACTATTAAAATCCTAAATAGGTCAAGTAAAATGAGAAGATAGATAAAGACAATCAGACAAATAAAACTAATATCTAATAGGGGGTTTAAAAATATAACTTTCAATTAAAGAAGAAATTAAATCGTCTTCTTTATTGTTCTGGTGTTCAAATGAGAAGCATGACCGTGGCTAATTTATTTGATTGGAGTTTAGTGCATTATGGTGTTTTGTGGGTTAGTACCAAGTGGAAAAGATGGATCAACAATATATAATATTTTATTAAAATGGTGTTTTAGTCTTTGGACTTAATAGATAAGTGTATTATTTTGGTGGGTTAGTAGGTTGGTTTATTGGGTTGGGCTAGAAATACACTAATTTTTATTTTTTAAAACTAATAGTTGTTAAAAAAAAATAACAGGCCTGAGCTTCAGCCCATCCCAGACCTAAGGTAGATATGTCCTTGGACTTCTATTTAGTATTTATATGACTTCCAGCTCAAGCAGGGAGGACCAAAGATCAGTTGCCACTGAGGCAAATAACAACGTCTCGAAAGCTGTAGCACACCAAATTTTGGAGCTCCGGCGAACTAGAATAGAATCGAGAATTGAACACTATAGGCAGGTAGCAACCCATTCATGGTTGTTGTAATTTGCATAAATCAACTTGACCATTTTAGGTGTTAACACACCATCACTCCACCTATAACTTCTGTTCAAAACCGTCAAAGTCCAACCCATAGTCCAACTATCAAGCACGAAGGTCCAAGTTCCAAGGCTAGGGACTAGACCCGTGCCCGAGCATGAGTCGAGCCGAGCCGAGCCGGTTGGCGAGCTGGCGTGCGCGTATTGCCAAAGTCAACACCAATACTTGGTGCATAGCTTTATTTTTTTTGTAATAGGATAATTGATCTTCGAATCTCACAACCAACGTTTTACGAGTCAATTATGACTAACTTTAACCATTAATTTCTCACTCAAAGAAAATTGTTTTTGAGAAAATAAATATACCACGAGTATCTACTCGAAACGTAGAAATTTTCTATACAATTTAATTCAACCCAAGTTAAATAATTAGCCATAAAAAAAAAATCAGTCAAAATCGTGTCAAACTCAATTTTAAATAACTAATTTTTTAACAATAAGGCCAGACATACAAGCTCAATTAGTTCAACGACTTATATTTATCATAACTTTTTTTGTTTTATTGCTATTATTATATTTCAAGACTATGTTTGGATTGAAAGATTTATTGAGTGATTTTTTTAAATAGATAGATTTCAAATTTACAAGTTCAAATTCTCATGCATGTTGGAATGTCAATATAAGTTGTAGGATTGCAAATTCACAATAAATAGATATTAGTCATTATTTTAAAGGATTTTAAATGACTCGTCAAATATAGTAATTTGAAATCCTCTGTTTATTCCACTGTTGACGACCACACCGTCCGCGAGTATGACTCTTCATTTAGATTCATCTGTCACCACGAATCAACACCATTGGTGCGAGTTAGACAATAAATTTATAATCATTTACACAAATCCATAAAAGGAATTTAAAAGTAGCAAATTTATATTTCAAAAAATTCAAAATCAAGAGATTTCAAACATCTCAGTCGAAACAAATTCTTATAGAAAATAGTTTGAAGGCTTACTCAGAAAAATGAAGTTTTCACTAGATTTATCATTAAAAAAAGACATACTTTGACATAGCAAATTGACAAAAAGTTTCCAGATAGAGAAAATGATATTATATCAAACTTTGGTCAATTACCCTCATTTATAATACTGTAACATGCATGTTATCAATTTCATTGAATTTATTTTCTCATTTTTTAAGCCTTATAGGATTCATTCTTTCGAATAAATCTGGTTGGTAAATTGGCAACAAAGGACTTACCAACCTTTATTTTCAAAGACTATTAGATATATATTACAAAAAACGAAAAAGTAAATTTCAGCAAGGACATTTGAAAAAAAAAAAAAAGAACTAACGATTACTTTTCCCATCAGCCCTTTATGTTTGCCCCAAACAATAATTTTTAACTGAAGAGAGGAAAGTGGAATTGAAAGCTGGGTAAAGTAACTTTATCTGGGCCAAAACATGAACTCGAACCAGTCCACAACTAATTTATTCCGCCAAAAACAAAAAAAAAATATTACAAGTTACTTCTTTATAATTTTTAAATACGAATATTCCCATTTTGATCTTACAATTTCATCTATGATCTATCGCCATTTATTCACATCATGGATCTATTCTATTCCCAAAATTTCACCTATAAGGTAAACTGTCCCTCAATTATTCACAATATTCCCTAATGTTTGATTATCAAATATGTGAAAGTCTAAAGTAGGACCTGAATATACCGCTGTCAATTACTTTGAATTTTGGATTTTTCTTCACTTATATCACAAATTTGGGTTGAAAAAAAAGAAACATGTTTGAAGTGTGAATTGCTTTAAATTTCGGATTTTTCAAGCTCACTTGGATAATACCTAATGGCCGAACACATTGTTCATGAATCTTCTATACTAAGATAAAAAAGGTAAAGACATTTTCATGGGGTAGGAAGAATATTTATTACAGTTTTTTTTCCTCATTATGCAAATGTACAAATAAAAAATAAAAGAAAAATAAGCTAATTTTGGTTCACTTGTCCTTCAAGCTATTATGAAAATATTTCTTATATTTTGGGTTTCACGAGCTAAATGAAATCCAGCTCTTAATTTATTTCTCTTTTACCCAAATCATACTTTACTGGCCTCACCTCATATTTACCTTTCCAAGAAAATGTGGATTCCTTGTGTACTTGTGTTCTTTAATTTTATACTATTTGTGTGTTATAATCCAGGTCCTTGCTTATTCCTTTCTTTACCTAAGCCCGATAAAGCCAATATCATATCATATTCAACTTATTTCGTATACAGACATCAACAGCCTTTTACTGTTTGTAAAAGAAGTACAAAACTAATCAAGAAATCAAACCTAATTGGTGATTGTTTATGTATTTACTTAGATATACTTAGCCCTGCACTTCTCAATTGTAAATTTTTGTCTTGATTTCAACTTTCAAACACACTCAACAGTACAATATTCTAACTAAAATTGTAACGGAATTTTAACACAAAGAAGAAGCTACAAAACTAAAATGCTTTCTTGAAATTTAAAGATGTAACAATAGCTTTTCAACGGTAGGAATTACAGGAGGATAAAACATGAATGACATGTAGGTAGTGACATCATCAAAGGTACGTATAATTCATGAAATGAAATAAAATATAAAATTAAAACATGATGGTGTGGTTGAATATCTTAGAGCTACAAATGAATCGAGCGGCTCGCGAGCTGGTCGGGAGCATTCAATTCAACGCTCCATTTGAGCATGAGTTTGACTCGAACACTTTAAATTTGAACTCAACTCGAGCTCGAGCCTGCAGTTTGTAAGTGCGAGTGTACGATGAGTCTATCGTATATATGTAAAATTACTAAAATACCCTAACTAGACATTTATTTATAGAATTTTTAAGTCAAACTTGGGCAAAATTCAAGCTAATCTCGAGCGCTTGCGTTTTTCTTGTCTAGTCGAGCCGAACCTTAAAATGTTCAGCTCGATCGAGCAACAATAAAAAACAACGATCCTATCTTAATTGGATTCATGCTCGACTTGATTCGACTCGTTTGGAGCCTAATCTTACCCAACAACAAACAAGGGCAAAAAAGGAAAGGGGAAGCACCATATATATACTACATAGAGGGACAACCTATGAGGGGTTTAAACATTACTATAAGCCAAAAGACTTGGAATTTTTTCTTTCATTCCTTCAACAACATCAATCATCATGGCCTCAACTTTTCCTCTGCCTGACCACACACCTTCATCACCATCATATCACCCACCCATCAACATGTTCATCACTAGCTATACCGCACAATTGATTCACACAGCTAAGACCAGAAAATATTCCCCAAACAACAAGATTTTCTTTCCTTTTTCTTTATTTTTCTATTTTCTTGAACAAAAGACCTGAGAGGGCAGCTGTGTGTTCAAAGGGCCTTCAGATTCTACTTGGAAGGTTTTGAATCAGCTAACAAATTACTCTTTGGTGCCAACTTATGGGGAATCAAGCGTCTCGGTCCGAAATGTATTCGTTACATTATCATTTTTTTCTTTCTTTCTTTCTTTCATTTTTGTGTTTTTTGTTTCTGTTTACTCTTCATCCCATGTTTGAATCTATAAACTCGATATGCTTTCCTTCGTANTTATCCCTTTTTTTTGTGAATGTGTGTTTGTTTATTACATGAATTAGAAATAAAAACCATTAATAATGATATAATACTGTTTTCTTACAATAAGATCTATATGCCATGAAAGTATACAATAGCTAATAAGCCTAATACAAAAAATTTATGGAGCCATCGGATGGTTTTCTTATGGAACCATCTACCACTTAATGTATTGATACTTGTCCAAAGTGTATTTATTGCAGGATACGTGTCAATACACTATTGATGAATAAGTGTGAATGACTCCATAAGCCGAGTCATCCGATGACTCCATAGCAAAATTGAAGCCTAATATGTCCATAAATCTAGTGAACATTGAGCTATTTTCACGAAGTTGGCTAGAAATTTATTTGTTCCTCATTAATTACATCATATTTCTTCCACATTTTGAAGTGGAAAATTATAATTAATGTAGTTTGCCAAAAATAATTTACGAGCCTAAATTTCCACTTCTTGATCATTTTGCCATTATTACCTCATAAAGAAGGTCAAAGAACTTTACCTAGCTTGGTTATAAATAACCAAAAATGTAGTTATACAAAATACAATCAACCCAAATTCAATGAGCCCAAGCAAATTAATGCCATGGCATCCCTAGATTCTGATTGCATTTTTCTTGTCCTTCTTCTTCATTTTTACATTACATCACTCAACACGATATCATCGAATATGGATTTCTTGAAGCCATTGATTGGACTTCGAAAAGGCCAAAGCACGAAAGGGATACAAGACCTCAAGAACTATCTCGATTATCTCGGTTACTACTTAAAAAATAACAACACTTCGTTCACAAATAACAACTTATTCGACAATTCATTAGAATCCGCACTCAGAAAGTACCAAAAGTTTTACAATCTTAAAGTCACCGGACTTCTCGATCCACGCACCATAGCAAAATTGCACGAACCCCGATGTGGGATGCCCGATTTTCACAACAATAGTATTAATAAACTAAATAGTGATAAATTTCGTGTGTCGTCTCACTATGCATTTCTCCCGGGTCGGCCCAAATGGCGCAAGACTAAACTCAGCTACATTTTCAATACAAACGTTAACGAAGAAGCTATAATGGCGTTTGAGCGTGCCATGAAGGAGTGGGCCCGTGTGACGCGTTTTACATTTTTCCGGGCTAAAGACGTGGGCCGGTCTAATATTCGGATCAGTTTCTTGCGTGGGCATCATGGTGACGATTACCCGTTTGTTGGGCCGCAGCCTCGGGGCGGCCTGGCCCATTCCTTTCCACCACCGAACGGGAGGATTCACTTTGACGCGGCCCAGAACTGGTCGCATAATGGGGATAGAAATGCGTTTGATGTTGAGACAGTTGGGCTACATGAATTGGGCCATGTACTTGGGCTTGATCACAGCAATGTCCAACTGGCGGTCATGCATGCTATAATTGCTCCTGGTGAAAGAAAACATTTGCATGAAGATGATATTAAAGGGATCAAGGCGTTGTACAGATTGAAATAATTGATATTATTATTATTATTGCTTTTTTTTTCTTTATTATGATGTAATTTTATATGTGTGCATTGAGTGGTGTTTCTAAGAAAGGATTTGTATTTTCAGTGAATGTCCAATTTGTATTGGTGATCAAAATAAAATGTCATGGTTAGATAGATGGAAATTGTGTGGGTAATTCATCTTTTTATGCAAATATGAACGTATTGGTGCAACTAACATTAATTTTCTCATAGTGCAAGTCAACATAAGCCATGACGAAATCTTAATGAAAGTGATGTTTGCTCATTCAATTCCAAGATACATATGCACAATCTAATTTCTTAGTTATATGTTCTTTATCTTGGTTATACAATTGCATCAAATGATAATTATTTTAAGGAGTTTTGTCGGTCCAAACCTATCATTTCAGTCGTTGAAAGATTCTTTTTATCGATTCAGAGCCTGAATGTTTCAAAACTATCAATTCGGGACTCTTAAAATTGACACTGTTAAATAACCATTCTGAACCATGTGATGTGACTGTTAAATTATGGATTGGATTAAGTAAAACCACACCTAATCAACATTTTAATGAGAGCGAATAAACATTTTGGACAGGTGCAATTTAAAAGTGACAAGCAGTTATTCAGTTTAATCCTCCACGATTAGACGACAACCTAGCAAATTCTAATATGGGCCAATCTGTCTCCCGATACTCACAAACTAGATATGGGCTTTCCTGACGGTCCGGCCCAAATAAAGAGAAAAGCCCTAGACACATCATTAGGGAATAACCCAAATAAGTAAATACTAAATATATTGAGCTTTTGCTTTTGGCAAAAAACTGTGTCAAAACTCAAAATCCTCCAAGACATTGACAACTCAGCATACACCAATTACCAACTCTGAGTCGTTCTTGTTCCCAAACCTCACAAACACACAAAAAAATAGGCCTTCAGTTGTGAATTTCAACCTTACTACCTCATGAAAATTTTTACCATCATATCAACACACATCGGCTGCTCACAGAGTAAGATCAAATTTACCAGGCTTAAAACACACAGAACTTTGACAAAATATTGAAATTCACCAAGTCGGACGAAAACTTAACATAAAAGGCAGGCAACTAAAAAAAAAAAATCTAAATAATAAGTTGAAGCACCACACGTTTGACAAAGTAGTAGAAAAATCCACAATCTAAAAAGAGATATAGTCCACAAAGCACAATATCAAGATGTCAGTTTCAATCTTCAACAATGCATAATTTAGCAATTATTACGTACACACACACACACACACAAAAGAGATAAAATGATCAACTCAGCATCTGAGATCCTAAAACAAACAAAAGATGTTAGGCCCTATCCAATCCATGTCCACAAACTTAAAGACGATGAAAGGCTAAAGGCTAAAAAAGATAAAAACACTAAAAGCTAAAGTAACCAATGCATATTGACACCACCCTCCACCATAGTTAACCCAATTTCTATCTAATTTACTAAATTTACATCACCTTTAATTAACCAGGTCTAACCTCACTCACAACTCAGGTCGAGTTAGTAGTCCCTTGACTCGGTCGACTCGCTGCCCGACTCACCCCGTCCCTCATCACCGCCTCCCAATCCACCTCCTCCTCCGCCACCTCCTCCGGCCCCCTCAACATCTCTAAAATCCTCTTAGCTTTCTCCTTAACCCGCTCTCCGCCGCCCTCCGCCACCTCCCGGAGAACCTCCGCCACCCCAGCCTCCCTCGCCAGACCCTTAAACCTCAAGCTCCCCTGACTCAGTGAGTGGAGTGCCGCCACACAGTTCTCACGAGTCGACTCGGAGCCCGACTCGGAAACTGCCCTAACCAGGCACCCAACACCACCGGCGTCCAGGATTGCCGCCCGGCCCTCCCCGGAAACCGCCAGGTTGCACACCACAAGCACCACCCGACCCGCCACGTCAGCATCCCTCAGCAGCCCTAACAGTGGTCCGGCGGCCCCGAGCCTCACCAACTTGGCCCGGTTGCTGCCGACAAGGGTCAGGTGGTAGAGCGCCAGGGCGGAGTCGTGGCGGCTCCGGCGAGTTCCCGACCGGAGCTCGTGGAGGAGCGGAGGCAGAGCGCCGAGGACTCCGATTGCTGTTTTGTTCTCGTCCACCAGTGACAGGCTGAAGATGGCTCCGGCCGCATGCTCCCGGGACTCCTCGAATCCGTTTTTCAGAATGTCGATTAGCAGAGGAACAATTCCGGCCCGGACTATTTTGACCTTATTGACCTTTTCCAACGAGAGATTCACCAGCGCCGCCGTGGAGTTAATCTGTACGGCGGCGTACCGGGATTCGAGCAGCTTTTTCAGGCAAAGCAAGAGTTTTTCCGAGCAAAGTGCGATTCTTGATTCGTCGCTGGCTCTTGTAGTTTTTCTCAATAGAATCACGGCCTGCTCCTGCTCGTAAACGTCCAAGCTTTTCATTTTGGAGACGAAACCCTCGTCCTCGCCGGAGGAGGAGCTGGAAGAGAGGTTTGACGACAGAGCCGCCTCGTCGGGGAGAACGAATTCCGACGAGGTCGACGGGGATGAGGAGTACGAAAAGCAGGACGGGCGAGTCGCGAACGGCAAAAGCGGCGTCATGTTTGCGATTACGGATTCCTCCGAGCTTGAGGAGGAGTACAGATTCCTAGGGTTTTGCGAAAACGACGGCGTTCCGACGGCGGCAGCGGCAGCGGCAGCGGCAGCGGCGGCGTCGTTCGGCAATCCCCTCACCGAAGCACGAATTTCAGGGCTACTATGCCGGTTTTCTCCAGCGGAGCCCATGAGGGAGCGGAGAGTGGACTCGAGGTCCATGTATAATGGCGGGTTGGGGCGGGTCGACCCGGTCTTCGAGCACCAGTTGAGGATGGCGGTCTTGAGGGCGAGATTAGGGATGACGGTGGAGAAATCCGGCGAAGACCCATCTGCGAGGGTCGGGGTGAAGCCCAAATCTCGGCAGATGTCGACGCACGCGCGCTCGAAGGTCTGGCCGGAGGAGACGACGGCCGGGTCGGACATCAGGGATTTGGTGATGGGGCAGAGGAACTCCTCCGGCGGGCTCTTCTTGGCGGCGGTGGCGGAGAAAGATCGGTGAAAATTGATTCTCCATCGGCGGAGCTTCCCACTTCCCCCCATTTTGACACCGACTGTTGTTTTCCGCCGGATTTGTGATCGGAACTTCGCCGGCCGGAAGAAGGGAAGGCTTAATTGTGAATAAAGCGTGAGGGTTTATGGGGTAGGAGAAAATGGGGTGAGATTAGATAAGGCCATTGGAGATTGATTTGGGAGTAAAGGTGAGATCTTTTTTGACGGAGAAAAGAATCCGAGTAGACCGAGTCTCTCTGTATATGTGTGTGTGAGAGAAAGAGAGACCGGTTCACGAGAGGACAGCTATATTGGGTACTATTTTGATGCAGCTTTGTCGAATAGTATTGAGATTAGATGGGTTTTAATTATTTGTTTTGTTTAATTAATATTTTTACTTAAAATGGAACAGAAGACAGTTGACTACTACTATCGATGGACTCTACCATTTTCAAATTTCTTTAGACACATGCTGGATTTGAGAAATGGCAGCCCACTTAATACTAACCATTCATATATAAGAAATGTAATCTTGACCAATGACCTCTTTAAATATCCATGAAGGCACATTTGGATTGTTGCCCTAATCTATTTTCTCTCCCTCTACGTTGCCTAATTTGCGTCTCTCCTTATGTAGCCTCTGACTATGTATCCTTCGATCTCACATTCTCTTATTACATTATGAAATTTTTGTGATAATTAATTTGGTAGTGTTATGAGGATCTTAAGTTTTAGACACATTGATTATTTCCTTCATACATCAAGTCGGAGTTCTCCAAAAGAGCCTTTGAAAGGTTTCTTATACAGGTGGTTTCTGGTCGAGTTTAGTCCGTTCGGTCGATGGTGTTTACCGTTGAGACTTGTAGAGTCGAAATCATTGCAGCAAGTGACCATCATTTGGTTTCTTGGTGACTTGTTTAAGGAATTGACAAAAGTGGACTAAGTTAGGTCGTTGTAAACCCATCATCATGGCTTTTGAGTCCTTGTGCTCCACCCTCGACATCTTATGGATGCCTGGTTTGTGAAGACAGTCCAAAGAATGTTAGCCTTAGTACAAATGTTTCTTGCCATGCCATGTCGAAGCAGACGACCACAAAACAACTCAATAAGGTAAGAGGGAGAAGATTTTGTGAAATCAATAAAGAGGTGGAATAAAAAAAATGAGGAATCCCAAACAACAAATGCATTTTGTTAGATAATTAAGCTCTAATTCTTATTTCATTAAGTACGATTTATTCAATAAAACAAAATAAAAATTAAAACATGATTTTAGAATATGAGACATGAATATTCTCTATATTTAAAAAAATTTGAAAATATAGGAAGCTACAATACATATATTTTTTTGGTGATGAAGATCTCAACTTATATTGGACCGTGAACTTTTAACTTCAATACAATATTCAAAAGTTCAGATCATAGTTAGAATTTCAAAAATAGGCATTTTTTCTTTCTCCACGAAGAAATAATATTTGCATAGACAATATAGAGTGAAAATGAAAACTTCGTATTCTTTTTTTATGTAGCAATATTGTACCGTGTGAAGTGTCGTCGTTTTCATCACCCACAACTTAATTGGAACTTTTAAGTTCACTGCTCATAATCAACACAATTTTTATTGTCCAACTCCAAAGACAAGAGTCTAGCTTTACCTTAAATAAATTAATAATTAAATAGTCTGTTTTGCATCTTTGTCCTCCAACAATGGCTTCACAATATATTCTATGCGCAATAGATGGGATAACACTATCAAATTCTTATCATCTCATTTTTATCTTATATTTTTAGTTTCCATTTGTGATCTCATATTCATAATTTCTTTATGTCGAGTTCAATATTTAATTAGCTCTTTCCCAGTAACTGCACTTTCATATTTTACTGCAAAGGTTAAACAAGAAGTTTTTTAAGATTACACAAATATCTTGAACGTACGTAACATGAAATATCACATAAGCATGATAAAATCATCAGTTATAAATCTAGCACAAGTAGATATTTTGAGCAGAAAGCTATTTGAAAAGTAAAATTTAGAGTTAAAAGTATTGATATGGCCCTGGAAATGTCAAAAATGACCTCACTTTATTTTGCGACGCAGCTTTTCAAGATTCATCGATCGGTTTGGGGGTTAGATTTGTGACTCAGAAGGTTTATGTTGGGTTGCTTTTTGCCTTAAGTCATTTTGGATATATTGCACTCAGATATGGACTTCGCTTTGCTCTTGATTCAGGGTTTCCGTTTCGATTTGATGAGACGCACGCCCTTTGTCATTTGTGATTTGTCCAATCTTTTTCCAAATGACCCTTTGAATCAAGTTTTTGCAGTCATTATCTCCCATTTGTTAACCCTAAATTGTGGCTCTTGTAGTCATATTGATATCGATCGAGATCAAAATATTGTTGCCTATAAGCTAACTAGTTGGGCTATGTCGTCAACAGGATCCTTCCTTGGGAAGAATTATCTCCTGCCTTTTTTATCTCCTTACATACTTTTGTAGTCTATATATATAATTACTAGCTGATGCATTTAATAAAACATTTAATAAAACCTATTTTCATTTCCCGCCAAAAGGAGTTACATTTTTTTTAATTAATTGCTCACTAATCTGCTAAAACAGTTACACCTTAATATATATTTTTTATTATTTATTTTTTGGTTCAGTTACTAAATTAATTCTAAATTTGGTAGCAAAATATTCAAATGTGTAACGATTAATGTTGGAACTTAAAGTTGATTGATACATTCAGAGCCGTAACCGCTATATTTGGTTGCATTGTTGGAAGAAAAATATGATTGACACATATTTTTTTTCTTCTAAAAATCAGAAACGCCAATAATCTTTTTTATTTATATTAATTTTCCTAATATATGTCACAAATATATAAAATATTTTATTCATGTTACTAATGTAGACATTGCATGGTTAAAATAAAATTTAAATCTCAATTAATTTTAAATGATAAAATAACTTAAGAAAAAGTAATACAAACAAAAACGTATTTTATATTTGTGCAAATGCACATGATCAAATACTAGTTTTTGGATAAATGTCTCTTGATGTTATCTTATTGTGATTTAAAAAGAAAAAAAGGAAAAAAAAAAAAAAAAAAACTTGACAACAAAAGTAAAATTAAATTATAAAGTGACATGGATTAAAGTTTGTGGGCTACTTTACTGAATAACGTCATCTTAAGCTTTAACTCCTAGATTCCGCCATGTTGGATCGGCTCGTTGGGCCTTTAAAATTACACCATGTAATGTCAGCCCAAAATATGTTCGAATAGTATATTACAAATCATCCATTGCTAATTGGATAAAATGTTTGTTTTGTGTAGTTACATTATTTTTTGACAAGTCAATATATTTACTTATCTTATGTATTTGTTCTTTATTATATCTTATACATTCCTTTTTACAACAGTACGTGGAATTTGAAAAGATAATTCATAGCAGTTCTCAAGAGAAGTTATTGTGTCCATATTTTTCAAATCTTTTATGCAGATTTTATAAAAAATTGTGATTTAACTTAATTGTGCGTCACAACTCAGACAAATTAAAATTTATATTTTTTCTTAACTAACCTAATTATTAGATTGTATTACATAAATTTTCTTGTAATATTGTTGCACAGTGATGCACACCAAGAGACAAATGGAGTACTTTTGTTTTGACGAGCTAAACAAATAACACAAGTGAGTGAAATATTAGTGAAAAGCTAATTGAAAGTTGACTAATCAATTGATATCTTATAAATTATAAATGATACAAAGCCAAGCCAACTTAAAGTACAACTAGGTTGACAACACAAGTGAAAACATTTATTTGTGTATTTTTTTATTTTTATTTTCGTGGATGTTTTCTTACTCGTGTTGTCAACATAATTGTACACTACGTTGACAATGTAGCATTTCTCTATAAATTAATTTTGAGTAAATAATTACTAGTTTATAATTGATGATCGAAAAACTACCAAATATAAAAAAAGTATTTGACAAAGCAAGTTAATAAATTAATTTCAAATTTATACTTAATTGCTTATGCTTTAATTGATATAATAAAAGTTTTTAAAAAACTAAATCTCAAGTATTTCTTAAACCCCACATAGAAAAGCAGCTTAGATGAATTCAAATTTTTACTTTTTTTTTTTTATAATAAAAGATTACCCTATGTAAAGGATCTTATAAGCCAACAAACACAATCACACCCAATCACATATGAAAATCGGATGAAATTAAGTAGTATTTACCAAAAGTTACTTTGGTAATGTAAGACCAAATTGAAGCAGACTGAAATCTTGGACCGACCTTTTCCATGATTTGATCTGCATCTTGAACCGGATAGACCGGGCTGGTGTAACCCCGCACGTCATTCCTGAATTTCCGAGGATAATCCAGCAAAATCCGATGTGCTGTCAATTTGTGTCAACAAACCAATCCCGGATCACAATCCTCGATTTCTTTTAATTTGACGACAAAAAGACTCCAACTTTACTCATTTTGATGCGCGCATATGGAATTCATGTCGACCGGAAGCAAAGGGACATGGGCTGCTCTCATCGTATTTCTTTTGATCTTTCCAACCTTGTACACCGAATCATTCTCGTCCGACCGCGACCTCTTTGCGGCCAAGAAAAAGCGCATGAGCGACAAAGTTCGCCGGATGTAAATTTTCTCTCTGTTTCTTGATTTTGCATTCTCACCTCAGTTCTTGAGCTATTTGTGTTCGATATTCTTGCCACTTTTTAGGCCCCTTTCTTTTCTTGTTTTAATCGTGTGCGATGACCTATAAATTAATGTGTTTTTTCGATTTTGTGGCCATCGAGTGATTTAATGTTATGTAGCTGAATTTGGAGAGTGAAGTGTTATTGAGAAAGGGGGTATTTGATGATCTATTAATTTTTAGCTTCAGTAAAATAGCCAAGTCGTTTTGAATCAATTTTTGCTCTTTTTGAAGGAAGAAAAATGCAGGATTGCCACTGAAAAGGGCGTTTTTCAGTTTCAATACTGTGAAGCCGTGTAAATTTACTGCTCTTTTCGCTTTGACCCTGGTTTGTGAAGGTTGTAACTAAGTGTGTGATGTTGTCATTGGAATGGAATTCCTCGTATAGATGATCCTGTTAATAATGCAGCTTGAAAGAACTTTTGTTGTTTCCTTTTGGAGCCAAATACGAAATATGTATGAGATTTTGCTTTGGCTAGCATTAGTAAGGTTTTGCTAATGGAGTTTGTCTTGATCAACCTTGTCATATTTTTGGGCTTAAACTCTGCAAGTAAAATGAGTGCTTTGAGGCTCGTGTTCTTGCTATCGCTAAGGCTTTCTTTGTTAACTTGCTCATATTTGAAGAGTCAGACACAGCTCCCCTTCACATGTTTTTATATGGAGATGCTATTTAGAAGTAAAATATGGACCTCCAAGGTGACATTTCATATAAGTTGAGCTACTTCATGGAGCTTCAGATTTGATCTCACTCATCTACTGCTTATTTATTCCCGCAAACAAAACTAAATTTTTTACAATTAATGACAGCTAAATCGACCTCAGTCATATGGTCGGTTAACTAGTATTTATAGCAATTGATGGCATTTCAGCTTAGATGCATTTGTTAATATGCAACTTCATTTTGGCATATGAGGAATGTCAAATAAAAGACCAGACATGAAAATGTTGTAATCATGTTATAGACTTGTTACCATCTTCATGCAGGTTTTACCATGCCTATGATAACTACATGATGTATGCATTCCCGGTCAGTCTTCAAATACATAACCAGTAAATATTGTGAAGTTCATTTATTATGATGAACAGGATTTCGTCATTAAAACAATGCACTTTATTTCCAGCATGATGAATTGAAACCTCTGACAAGAGCTTACACAGATTCTTTAAGTGAGCTTGGAAATTTGAATGTAAGTATCGTACATTGAGAAGGATGTTTTCGATATAGACTTATGGTTTACGATTTAACCTTTTTCATTTTTTCCTTTCAAAATTTAGCTTGAACATTTGCCACAAGAGTACAATGGTTCTGCTCTCACTCTCATTGAATCACTATCGAGGTTTGACACTTTAAATTTTTATTTTAATTTAGTCATTCAAGCAACAAAAGTTGTTAGCTTGTTCTACTTTTATGTTCTTTTATATTTTAATTTCTCTACCATCTCAGCCTTGCAGTCTTGGGGAACGATACTGAGTTTGAAAAAGCAGTTCTATGGCTATCAGAAAATTTAACATTTGATGTTGATGCAAGGATAAATCTTTTTGAGGTAACATGCTGGCTGTTCTTTTTTTTTTTTCATTTATTATTATCATCGTTATCCTTCTAGCGGCTATTTAGAATATGATTTTGATAAGCCACTATAGAACAAACAGCATCTTCTGTTATTATTCATGCTCTTTGTAGTATCTTAATCGTTTTCTCTCCCCTTGCCTGATATTATGTAGTGCAACATAAGAGTACTTGGAGGACTTGTGTCTGCTCATATTCTTGCAACTGATTCTACAAACAGGTTAACTAAAGGAACTTACAAAAACCAGCTTCTTGCCCTGGCTGAGGATTTGGGACAGCGGTTTTTACCTGCCTTTAATACTCCTACTGGGCTGCCTTATGCATGGATCAATTTAAAGGTACTATTCGAAATATGTCCCTTTTGATACTTCTAACTTGTTGAGGTAGTAAATATATGTTCATGAAATTTGTCTTTTGATTACTCAAGTTATGTGGCTGCATAGATTTGTACCTATGAGTTATTCTTATAGTACTTACCTACAAACTGCTGTATAACAGTATGGTGTGATGGAGAATGAGATAACCGAAACAAGCACATCCGGTTGTGGTATTCTCTCTCTCTCTCTCTCTCACACACACACACACACACATAATTTTTTGCTTGATAAAAGCTGTTTTAATATTTTCTCGGTTTAGGTTCTCTAATTCTTGAAATGGGTGCGCTTTCACGTTTGACTGGAGACCCAAGATTTGAGTCTGCTGCTTTACGAGCTTTACGCAAATTATGGAGTATGAGGAGTTCCTTAAATCTTTTGGGGACAACGCTTGATGTACAAACTGGGGAGTGGATCGAGTACTCATCTGGAATTGGGGCTGGTACGCAATAATACTTGATATTTTTTACCATTTTTTGTCTCTACGATACGTGCTTTGCTTGTTCGGCTTTTACATATGTCAATTTATTATACTATTCTTGCTTCACTCAAATTTTAATACTTTTCCTAGGGGTTGATTCGTTTTATGAATACCTACTGAAAGCACATCTTTTGTTCGGGAGGGAAGAGTTTTGGAGGATGTTTCAGTCTGCTTATGTTGCGGTGCAAAAATATTTTAGACATGGCCCATGGTAATAACTCTTATCAAATGTCCAATATAACTGTTGCTTTTCATCGCTTATTCATTGTTGAGATGTAGAATATTCGCTTTATGAATCAATTCCTTTTTATTTTCTTATTTAGGCTTGTATGGTGTAATTATTGTNTATTCAGGTTCTTGCTGGGGATATTCCGGCTGCTAACTCATCACATCGCGAATTTTTCCATGTATGGCAGAAATTTGGAGTATTACCTGAGAGGTACCAAAATATCATATGCTGTTGTTTTCAACTTAACACTTAATTTGTCAAAGTAAATCGAAATAGTATTTTTTTTTTTCTTTTTGTGATATAGATATCTCCTAGATCATCAAATGCTGCATCCAACCGAGAAATACTATCCCTTACGTCCAGAGTTTGCTGAGTCGACATTTTACCTGTATCAAGCAACCAAAGGTAAGTTAATCTCATGTAATCAATTTTCTGCCGATTTAAAGTTCCCTCAATAGCTATGATAACACTCCACATGGGAACTGAAAAACTTCAATAATGTTTTTTCCTAAATGTTATGCGATTTACTTAATATCCAACATTAGTGCATATCATATATTTACAAACTGCCTTTTTCAGACCCGTGGTATCTTGAAGTGGGCAAGACAATTATAAACTCCTTGAATTTGTACACACGAGTCAAAGGTGGCTTTGCAAGCGTTCGAGACGTGACGACTATGGAGTTGGAAGACCATCAACATAGTTTCTTTCTTGCTGAAACGTAAGTTTTAGTCACAGTTTTTTTTTCCTCTCTCTCCTTTTTCTTAAAGTTTTTTTCCCGGAACGATAGAAAATATTATATATCAAAACGCACAAATGTGCAAAGATACAAACCCCTAGCTGAATAATACAACCAACAGCTGAAAAACTGAGACAGATCAGAAGACCTGTCTAAAATCTACTAGAAACTCACATAGTAACACAGCTATTTTCTGCATTTTTTTTTTTCTAGGTGCAAGTATTTGTATCTACTCTTTAACGATTCATTCTTGGTCGATAAAAATTACATATTTACAACCGAAGGTCACCCGCTGCCAATTTTAGGCTCTTGGCACGAGAAGCTTCCAGAAGCTTATATTCCCAGTAATTGGACTTCCGTTAAGGTAATTAATATGCCTATTTTACTCTCTCCACAAATGGATTTCTAGGTTTCATCTCAATAAAGCACCTTTTCTAATTGTGTTATGTTCAAATCAATGAATTTTCTAGTTTTAGTATGAGAATACACATCGGTCATCTCTGTTTCATTTTTTAAAAAATAAATCATTTGAAGATACAAATTCATGTCAGTTTGCAAGAAATAGGAAAACTTACTATGTGCATCTAAAAACTGAAAGTACAATTAAATCTTAATTTTATATGTAATGTCATTTACTTGTTTCATTGAAAAGCAAAACTTGCTACCACTCATCTTCCAGGAGGCAAAAATACAATTTTAGTCATGTTGGTTTAACGTCATAGCAATTTTAGTCCCTAGATTCAAACTTTTCGCAACAAAATTTTAAATTACAGGATTAAAATTGTAACAAAATTTTAAATTACAGGACCATAAAGCGAAATGTTAGAATCTTGGGACTAAAATTGCTATGTCGTTTAACAAGCAGGACTAAAAATGCAATTATGCTTTTTGCAGGATGAAGGTCGACCCAGACGAGCCAGTGCAATGTCGTTGAGAATATGCCCTGCTGCCAATTCAAACTGCAGGCATAATAATAACCATCAGTCGATCGAGAGTGTTTGTCATATTCCCGATTTACGTCCCGATCACAGGTGTTTGACTGACGAGGATTGTGGGGTTGACTCGACTTCTTGCAGGCGGAGATTGTGTAGTATGGCTGGTTATTGCGGTCTGTGGCAGACCATATGAAGGTTTTTTTGTGGGCATGAAATTAAGACTTTTGTTGAAATTTAAGGAAATGAAATGAATACCATTTCCAGTGAACCACAGGCTCAAACGTTTTAGTTCAACTCATGGGTTTTGTTCTAACCCTATATGGTAATTGTAGGAAAAGAAGAAAATGAGATTTGTCACATTTATCATAGAAATCTTGTATGATGATACTGTACTGTTATGTTCTTGCAAGTGACTTTTTGTTTAGTCCCACAATACAGCTTCATAGCCATGACCGACATTTATGCCACATACTAAAGCACATGAACAAAGAAAGCATTTTGTGAGAATATTTATTCCTTTTTTGGATCTTTGATTTCCTTTTCTTTTTTATTATTATTCTGATAAATGTTTCTGTATACATCTGCAATCCATTATGTCTATGTTTGGTAATCAAATAAGCTAGTTTATAGTTTATTTGGTTAGCTTATAAGCATCCTCTATTCGGATAATCTTGGTTTGGTAGGACGAATTTTTTTAAAAAGTTCGAGTTTATCTCATAAGCTTCTTTGGATAGCTTTCCAAATAAGCTTGTTGAAGTTTTTATTTTAGCTAGCTTATTTTACCTAACACTTTTATCATATAAACTAACTTTTCAGCTATAAGTCATAAGCTATAAGCTCGATAATCATTTATAAGGTATAAGTTAGCTTATCAATTAGTTTTACCAAATATAAGTTATGTATTTCTAAGGATATCCCAATTCTTATGATATTATTTATTTTTTAAAAGAAAAAAGAAATCCTTGTTTTAGCATCTTCATCCTTTTTTGCCTTACCATGTTAATCACAAACATAATTCCCACCATCCATAATTTTTTCTTAAATATTTATTTTATTCAGTTCTATAAATTTTTTTAAAAAAATTAGAACATTTAACATATTTCGCCCAGGGCCTTATAAATTTCAGGACCGATTCTGAATAAGAATACTATTAGAAAGATGTACTTTTTTCAGTCGACTAATATTTAGATACGGAAATGTCATACTATATAAATCATAAATAAAAAAAGTATTTCATAGGATAAATATGCATTTTATTTAAAAACTTATTCTCGACCGAACGCCTCACATAAATTTTGGGGAAAAAAATCTTTTTTTCAATCTGCTATAAAAAAATATATTAAGTTTTTTACATCGCCCGTTGACAATTTAACTTTTTCACTCCAAAAAAGTGCGAATGGACCGTATAATTGTCACATATCAGTTGCATAATTGTCGCAAATTCATCACAATGTCTTCGCACTTTAACATTTTCATGACAGTATTATATGAATTGACCGCATATTTGTCGAATATCCTGATATCCATCGCGCAACTATCACATAATGATTTCACACTTTCTAAAGTAAAAAGTTAATTTATGATATGAAAAACTTCATACATTTCAGAGTGGATGAAAAAAAAATAACTATTTTTACTAAAATTTGTCTACACAAATTGTTTTTATTGACTTACATTTTTCTACTTCCACCCATATGGATCCGAATCTTGCTAACAACCGAATCCAATCCAAAAGAGACCCGACCCAGACACCATGCATTAACATTTGCCACCCAAACCAAACCACACACTATATCCTCTCCCTATGAATAAGGTTGTACCAGTCAAACTCCTTTTCTTTTCACGACACAACTCCAAACCAAAAAAACACACTCACAAACAGAGATATTCACGTTTCACCACTCTCTCTCTCCTCTCCGCCACCACACCACCGCCGCCGCCTCTCCTCTTCCTTCCCCATGTAAAAAATTAAAAATCAATGGCGGACATCGTAAAGCAAATGCTGGCAAAGCCCATCCAATACGCCGACGAAGTAACCAAAATCGCGGACCAAGCCAGCTCCTTCCGCGCCGAATGCCTCGAAATCAAATCCAAAACGGAGCGCCTCTCCTCCCTCCTCCGCCAGGCCGCCCGCTCCTCCGGCGACCTCTACGAGCGCCCCACCCGCCGCATCATCGACGACACCTCCCAAGTCCTGGACAAAGCCCTCACCCTCACCCTCAAATGCACCTCCCGCGGCCTCCGCCGCCTCCTCACCATCATCCCCGCCGCCGCCCTCCGCAAAACCGCCCAGCAGCTCGAAAACTCCATCGGCGACCTCTCCTGGCTCCTCCGCGTCTCCGCCACGTCAGCCTCCTCCTCGGACGACAACGACACCTACCTCGGCGGCCTCCCTCCCATCGCCGCTAACGAGCCCATCCTCTGCCTCATCTGGGAACAGATCGCAATCCTCTGCTCCGGCAATCTCGAAGACCGCGCAGACGCTGCAGCTTCACTCGTCTCGCTTGCGCGGGACAACGACAGGTACGGATCACTCATTATTGACGAGGGCGGCGTTCCTCCGCTTCTCAAGCTCGCTAAAGAAGGGCGGGGCGAGGGGCAGGAGAACGCGGCACGGGCGATAGGGCTGCTTGGACGGGACACGGAGAGTGTGGAGCAGATTGTGAATGCGGGGGCTTGTCAGGTGTTTGCCAAGATATTGAAGGAGGGGAATATGAGGGTGCAGGTTATGGTGGCGTGGGCGGTGTCGGAATTAGCCGCGCACCACCGCAAGTGCCAGGATCCGTTTGCGCAGAATAATATTATTCGGTTGCTTGTGAAGCATCTCGCGTTCGAGACGATACCCGAGCATAGTCGGTACACGATACCGACCAAGCAGTCCATTCACTCCATCGTCATGGCTAATAAGCCCGCCGAAAGTGGTAATATCAGTAAATAACAGTTTTTTTAGTTTTTTTTTTTTTTTAAAGA